AATCCCCAGTTTATTCTTAAATGGATCCTCTTTGAACTTATTTTTACCAAGTGGCCATGATGGCTGCTCTCCCACATGGTTACCAAGGACTAGGTTAAAAGCACTGAAGAAAATTCCTTTTAGATAAAGTTTCTCCAGAGATTTTAAACACAAGAAAAACAAGACTAGACAAACCAGAAACCCAGGGTGATATTTTAGGCTCTTCACATTCTGTATAAATCCAAATCTAAGAAACCTGCCCTAATACTACTACCCCTTTAATCCCAATCCACAGGAATCTTAAGATTACCCAGAAAAACTTTTTACCACAAATTTACATTTTGTTTTCAATGAAAAAACTCTTAATTTCATATTTTTCATACCACTTTTTTCTTTTTTATTTAAAATATTATAACCAATTAACATACTAGGTAACAATGTTTACATTCCAGTGGTGCATGTTTAATGACTAGGGCATGAATGATTAAAAACCACAATAATTATCTCAGCATTCCCTACAAAGTGCCCCATTTTGTTTTGTCTAGAGGAGAGAAGAGGAGAGGAGAGGGAATGGAACACAGGGAAGGAACAGGAATGAAGAAGGAACGGTATCATAGAGGGAGAGAAACAAATGTCAATTATCATATGCAGGTTTCCAGGTTTTAAAACCCGTTGAACAGGATAAACTGTAATGAGAAAATAGATGTCACAGTCCAGGTAGACAGCTAGTTCAGTTTAACTTCATCATTCAGCTAAAAGATTAAGAGCTTCTCAAAAATATACCAAATATCGGGCCTACAAAAGTAATTTATTTCTTCGTAAAATTTACTAAGATTTATTCCTTTTGTAAAATGTAAAGAATGGACTGATACCACGAGCAGGTTTCTACTTATAAAAACAGACAGTAATAATGTCCAACGAACACATCTAACACAATTTTCCAAGATATACAGTGAAAGATTTTCCATGTGAGTCTCTCTTACTGATGCAAGGTATATATTTTACACACTTACTGGTATTGTGTCAACATTGGCTATAAAGTATTTAACACACATTTATAATTCACACTCAGTAAAGAGCTTACAATAAGGGCAATAGCTTACTTGGGAAAGCATAGAAAATTAGTGTGAGGTAGTTCAATAAAAACCTAGTTTAATTTGTAAATTATTGTGAGAATAGAACATTGTGCAAAACTAATCCACAGGTAATATTTCTCAGAAGTTTCAGGAACGAAGAGAATCTAAACTAGAAATGGCCAGAAATTGTTACTCTTACGAGACTCTCCTTAAGAGCACTTAACTAAGAGCAGTTAGTTTGAAATTAATTAGGACGTTTGTTTTCCTTGTGAGTTTTCTAATCGTACCCCAAACTATACATTTCTGCTTCAATGCCCTTTACCTCTTTATCTTTCTTGCTATTAAGGAAAAATTAGTTTCCTCTGATTCAGGAAAAACCTAAGAGAGATCATAGAAACACAATGTACACTAACATGTAAAGGATACGGAGGCAACATTTAAGAGGGCTGCTAATGACAGAACAGTGGTGTTTGCTTTTTCTACTGAGAAGAGTTTACTGGGGTTATGGGGCTTCATGCATTCACTCTACAGCTAATGTGTGACTAATGAATAACACTCACAAACTACAACAGTATTTTTGAAAATAGACTATGTCTTTACCTCAGAATGTTGTGCAGGCTTGTGCCTAGGCAACATTGAGTAGTTATGTCTTCATATGTATAGCACATACTGGCCGACAGTGTAAACCAAGTCTTATCTGTAACCCCAAAACAGTTTCACTTGCCCGCTTCTGATCTCACTATCAGACACTGATGTCCTCTTTATCTTCTTAGACAAAACAGCAGGATTAACATGGAAGAGAATAATGAAAGGGCTTACAGTAAAGTTTGCTGCTTTGCATACCATCAGGCTTCTCTGTACTATGAAGGGGGCTGTGTGGGTAGCCTCCTCATTTAAGAGGCTGGCATTTCTCTTAGGAAGTCTGGTGTGAAGCACTGTGCCTTGAACCAACCTGGAAGAGTGCATACCAGGAACAATCAGCAGCCAACGGCGTGTGACAAAACGAGAACTGTTCAGCAAACAGTATGAAAGAGTTGAGATGCTCTATTTATGTATATTATAAATAAGCAATCCCAACAACACAATTATTTTACAAATGGTCAGTATACATTAGAGAGTAACAGAGTAGTAACCAGGAAGAACTATGTAGAAAGAATTAGTGTCTCTTTCCTACAAAGCTGAATAATGAAATGATAGAAAGTTGAATAATAAATCAAAATAATTTTCTGACAGTAAGGGACAATGGGTATATTAAATATATAATGTTGAAAACCAAAGTTATAAGAGAAGCAAGGTGGCTTTACATAAGTACTGCTTGACAGAAATCTTATTTGTAATTTCTCTTAAAAAAAAACAACACACAATGTTTAAGATGTTTTAAAGGTTCAAAAAGCTTGTAAAATCAAAAGAACCAGTACATCTTTAGCTTAACAGATTTAAGAGACGAGGGAAAGCTGTATTTAGATACTGCATTTTAAAAACCCAGGGCACGCAACAATTAACAGCCTTTGTTTTCAGGATAGAATTTGTTCAGTATTTTAGTCTATGCTAACTAATAAGAGTTGCTTTTCTCTGCATCAACTGAAGCACGCTGGTTGGCAAAGGGGAGCTGGCATTTAACAAATAATACAGTAAGAACACCTGGTTTTCCTTGCTTAAGCAAGATCTCTAATCAACAGAGATGGCTTACTAGAATCAAACAGAAAATATGGGAAACTTCTGAAAGCATGTCAGCTGTTAAAGTGCAACAGCGAAACAATCTATCTCAGGGAAAATAAAGCTGATTAACTGCCAAATATAAACTAAGAACACACTCATGCTCAAATTTCTGCTAAAATCGTAAATCCAATTCTGTTTCTGTAATTCAAGAGGTGTTATAATCTCAAAACTCTAATGTGCTTAATAAAATTAATGCACCATGTTGTATGAGTAGAAAAGGGATTGATAAAAAGGCTGACAACTTCAAGAGGCTAGAAATCACGACTTGAAACCGTCAAAAACAAACTTGCTATTTCAAAGCATAGAAAAAGCCTAATGTATTTTAATCCTAAATATTGCACATTAACAATAACCTAAAATACCTAACTCAAAAGGAATTTTGCACTAAATATACGAATAACATGCCAAGCGAACTATCAGACACTGCATATTGAGATGCACCAGTTCTTGGTCCTGTTGGTCATGAATTCCCATGGGCTTTCTGCCTAGAACCTTGTCACTTACTTAAGTATGCATTTCCTAGTTCATTACATGAAATCCCTCTTGTTCCAAAAATAACAAAAGGTGCCTGGGGGCAATACAGAGAATGTATTTCAGAGATAATGAGACTTCAATGACATTTACTTAAGAATAATTCAGTTGTGGAGAAAGAATCCTGCAGGTATAAAATGTAAACAGTTAACATACACTTGTCAGGAGCAGCACCATTCTTACACTACTCAACATCCACATTGCATGTTTTATTGAAAATCAGGTATAAAAAAACAAAGACTCAGACTAAATCACCACCACTTATGCCTGCTCTGCTCAATGTGAAGAAACAGTCCTTAGAAAATGATATCCTATATATGGCTGTGTGCTACTATTTTCAGATGAACGGTATATTGCTCATTTGATACATCACCTACAGAAACTGAAGTAGGCTTTGGAACCTCCCAACAGCTAGTATAAATATGATTATGCTACAGGTAGAATCAAATGGCCAGAAACACCTTGAGAACTGGTGCTCAACTGACTGATACTGTGATAGGAAACCAGAAAGGTCCAAGGGCCTGAGGCTGCAGGAAAGGGAAAGACCAGACTCTAGACCACTGCTGGGACCTACAGCCTGAGTAGATTAACTCAGTGTACAGAAAAACAGGCTCATAGCTAGTAGAAGTGAACCATCTGTTTATTTGCATTGAAATGTATTATTCATGAAGTATCCTCTTGACTTTATGTGATCATAAGCTTTGAGCATGCCACAAATTTGCAGAAAATACCATAATCTTTTTACTTAACTTTTGTTGTATGGGGTGGGGGAATAGGAGGGCGGTAGTAGACACCCAGCATCTTCAAAGACATGCTCTGAGTTATTCTGCCATTTAGATGATGGGGCTTTTGCCAAAAAACAATGTAAGATACCTACCAATTGTAATTAAATTAGGATTGGCAAGTAGCAAATATTGGAGGTTTTTTAACACGTTCATCATTTACAGTAGTTATTCCTGAATACAACTGGCTACAGGTTATTTTCCCTCACTCCTCTGGGGTTATTTCATTGATAAGCACATAACCCTGAAGGATAACATCATGAACAAAACATTTGAAATAAAGTTCTAATAAAAAAAACTATAAAAATCTTAAATAATTCATGATATAGGCAAGTCACCACATAATAGTTGCTTTGATAAACAAAATCTTACAAATTCAGTAAAAAAAAAAAAAATCAGCAGCATAAGATAAAGCAAATATGCAAAAATTTTAAACCATGATAAAATAATTAGGTTTACATTATACAGTTAATTACAGCGAAAATACAATACAGTTTTGTTGCTGTTTTAAAACACAACTTAAGTTTTAAATTACATCACTTGAAATTAAAAAAAATAAACTACTTTACTACAAAATGAATTCTACATTTTTGAAAATCACTCAAAAATAAGACCACTGAATTGTTTTCAAAGTAGTTCTATCAATGACTCAATGACTCCCCACCCCCCCCACCCTACCCCCCCACCCCGAGGCCCAAGTAGTCATCTACAGCAGCCCAGAGGTCCGGCTGATGCTTCTAGACTGCTGTCTGTGTCTGAGGCCAAAGTCGGATCTGTTGACATTGAAGACACATCATTGACAGACGATGATGATGATGGATGCTGAGAGCCATTGATCACTGCTGCACCTGTGCTATGAGAAACAAAACAGCAAATCAGTTGCAGACAGAGTTGCACACCGAGCTACCTATACTGTACTGGCTACCTCTAGTGGTCAGTAATCTTCTTCCTCTTGGCTTTGAAAAGGCTCATTAGGTTGTGCGTGAATAATACTGATAATACATGGAAGACTGTCTGTACTGCAGTTTGTTGGAGAGAGGATCTCAAAGAGATATATGATCCACAAAGTTAAAAACTACTGCCCGCCCTACTAAAAATGACTCATCTTCTCACTGTAAACTCCAAACAGTATTCTGGTACATCTTTTTTTTTTTTTTTTTTAAGATTTTATTCATTTATTTGAGAGAGAGAGGAAGAGAGCACATGAGTGGGAGGAGGGGCAGAGGGAGAGGGACAAGCAGACTCCCCGCTGAGCGGGGAGCCCAACTTGGGGCTCCGTCCCAGTACCCTGAGGTCAAAACCTGAGCTGAAGTCAAAGTCAAGACATGTATCCTACTGAGCCACCCAGGTGCCCCCTGGTCATCTTGTTTTAAAGCAAAAGCCAAGACAAAGGCTAAAATCATTTTAAAAGAAAGGGCCTTAGAGTTCAACTGTCCCTGTTTGCCTGAGGTTACATGACTTGCCAGGGTCACTAAAATGCCCTAGTCTTGTTATTTTTACTCTAATAAATACTTAATAAAAGCAAATATGATTTACTAACAGATCAAGTAGGGGAAGACTGGGGTGCCTGGGTGGCTCAGTTGGTTAAGCGTCTGCCTTCGACTCAGGTCATGGTCCCGGGGTCCTGGGATTGAGTCCCTCGTCAGGCTCCCAGCTCAGCGGGGAGGCTGCTTCTCCCTCTCCCTATGTGCTCTCACTCTTTCTCTCCCTCAAGTAAATAAATAAAATATTTTTTAAAAAAAAGTAGGGGAAGACTGTTTCCTTTAGTGAAAGTATAGCTAAGAAGCATTTCCTGGATTAAAAAAAAAAAAACAGGAATATATAACCAATAGAGAAATCCTTTCAAGGGAGTTAGGTTAGGAAATGGGAGGGAATCTCATGGGGGGTGGGAAATATGTTAAAGGTGATTCATGTTCTAGGTAAGTACTTTTTTATGGTATTTCTGAACTATGTGATCACTAAATAAAGGTCATTCCAAATTTGCGTTTATTAAATAATTCAAGTTATACAATAGTTCTTAACACATTTATGGAATAAAAGCAATGGTTTCCAAATTGAGCAGTAAGAATTTTTAGCGCTGAATTTTAGGCACTCAAGGATGCTAAAAACAAAGCCAGTTGATGGACTCTGAGAAACAAACTGAGGGTTTTAGAGGGGAAGGGGTAGGGGGGGTGGGTTAGCCTGGTGATGGGTATTAACTTGAAGGGCATGTATTGCATGGAGCACTGGGTGTTATATGCAAACAATGAATCATGGACCACTACATCAAAAACTAACAATGTACTGTATGGTGACTAACAATAAAAAAACAAACAATCAAAGCCGGTTGAAAACCACTGCTCCAGAACCCAGCATCTCAGTGTTTGAAATTATCCTACTATTCTGTCTAATGATGAACAATAAACACTTTGGAATACAAAAGGTCCTCTGAGAGCTTGTCTTCAAATGCAACAAGGAAATAGCCAGGGGCATGGGAATAGGCAAATCTTTAGGATGCTGGGGAGGGGGCTGGGAGACAGAAAAGAATGGAACCATTAGGGACAGAGCAGTTGACACAAGGTAAAATGAATAAAAAAAGCAGACTGAGTACACTTCAGGCCTGACCCTCTACTTCAAATTCCATCCCTAGGACACTAGAGAATGTGCCTGTTCTGACTGAAGAGTACACAATACCACGGCTAGCTTCGAAGACTGGTACTGAAATATTCAAATCGTAAAAGGGTTCCACCAAATATACATTTTCATGCCTCTATTTTTTAATCCAAATTTCATTTTGTCCAAACTTCTTAATCTGATAAAAATTAACTTTTATGTACTTTATTTTTTAAATTATTTTTAGGGTAATCTCTATCCCCAACGTGGGGCTTAAATTTACAACCCTGAGATGAAAAGTTGCATGCTCTACTGGACTGAGCCAGCTAGGTGCCCCAAAAACGAACTTTTAAATGCATTAAACATTAAAGAGTTAAATTTTTAATCTGAAAATCAAATACCTACGAAAAGTACTTGTTTTTTTCCCGAGCTTTAAAGCAATCTAGGAAATTCTCAAATATCTGAATGGCAGTAATAGGAAAAATGGTTAATTTTGGGTAGCTGGGTCATTTCCCTCTTAAGTGAGTCTCTATACCCTCAAAGGCATGCAAACTCACTGTAATATTAGCCAAACCAAAATAAAGATAGGAAAGTGGGAAAAATAATATATTTAATTTTTATTTTTTATTATCTTTTAAAGATTTATTTATTTGACAGAGAGAGAGACGGCGAGAGAGGAACACAAGTAGGGGGAGTGGGAGAGGGAGAAGCATGCTTCCTGCTGAGCAGGGAGCCCGATGTGGGCAGGACCCTGGGATCCTGAACTGAGCCAAAGGCAGAGGCTTAATGACTGAGACACCCAGGCACCCCTCATTTTTAAAAATCAAGTTGAAAGGGTATCGTGATTATCTGATATTCTAATTTGTCAAAGACTTCCTTCTGTTTTTACATATAATCAAGAACTGAATACTTTTATAACAGGTTGATTCACTAACACTTTTCTCTGCAGGCTATAACTGAGAATCAAGAAAATGTCTAGAAACCTAGAAACCTACAGTCCTGTCCTTTCCACTTATTTTATAACCACAGTCAAGTGTTCTTTAAGATCCAATTTCTTTAAATTAAGAACAGATACAAGTGCTCTATCTCATGAAATTAAATTTACTCAAACATTCAACACTTAAGATGTACCATTCATTAGGATAGCATTCTGAAGTATAAGTCTCCCAAATAACAGACTTTTCCAATCCCACTCGAATTTCCAACATGAGTAATTTACTTATGCTACTACTGTACATCAATACAAAGCCAATTAAGTCCGCTATTAAAGCATTTACAAAATATAGCTTTTGTTACAACTAAACTGTAGGTAAAAGCTGTTAAAATCAATTCATATTTTCAATAGAATCTATATTATAATTTGGAAAACTCACTCCTGATCAAGGATTTAAAAAAATAAAAAAATATAAAAACTAACAAATATAACCAAAACTGTTACAGAAAGCCACAGAAACTATTTAAACAAATGTTTAGAGTACAACAAAATGCGCATTTGAAACTATAGTTAAAAATCTTACCCATAGGATATCCTTTTTTTTTTCTTAAGATGTAGAAGAGTTTTAGAGGGATGATTAAAATGACATTGTTTTACTCAAATTCAAGACCTATCTGTCGAACACTACCTGGCCTTCAAGGTTCAATTCAAATTTCATCTCTTTCCTAAAGCTGCCCTAACGTCTGTAGCCAAAAGTCTCTGCTGCCAGCCAAAGGCCATATGGCATGCTGGAAAAACCATGCCATCTGAAGTTACTGGTAAACATGGCTTCTTCAAGTAGTAGCTTTTCTACATTTTTGTAATTTTATGTTCATTTACTTTTTCTGAACTTTAGTTTCCTCATCTGTAAAATGTGAATAATCCCTTCCATGAGGTCTTAGGCAAGGCTTAAATGAAATAAAGTACATAAAACCACCAGTGCCTGTCATGTAGTACGTACTTAATATATACAAGTTACCTGCCATTTAACTTTTCCCCCAATGCTTTATGCTTTATTAAGGGCTAAAATTAAATATAAGCTAGCTTATGATAAAAGAAAATGCTTAACTCCTGCAAACCAGTTTTCTTCCTAGATATGGAATGATTTCTAATGGCAGTTTTAATGTTACTGCCTTAGTTTAGCAAATTTAAAAATACTAAAATGAGAAAGATGGTAACTTAGTATCACATGTACCAAATTTTTCAATGAAGCCTTAGTTCATCCAAAGTAAAGACTGTTAAAATCTTGGTAAGTATACTGACCTGTGAAAAAATTCTTCTTTAAAAGAGAACAATGCCAAGAGAAAAAGGTTTTAAATTTCTCTTCTTCAGTGGAATGTCAGTTTTATAGAAAAAGATGTACATTTTATGAAGTCAGTTACCGATATATTAGTATGACGTATTGGTACAAGAGTGTACCAGTGCTTTCAAATTTAACTACCCAAGTTGTATTCCCTATACTTCTTAAACTTTGAACAAGAACCGTGGTAAATATGGGGAAAACTGCAGGATTCATGCAACTGAAGATTACCACAGAAGAAGTAAACTGTAACCTTAACCAAGCTTATATTGTAACCAACCTAAAGGAGAGGGCTGCCCCCTTATAACTCCATTCTTGGTTCTCTCCTCCAAGTCCATAACTTCTTTGTATATCAACTCTGAAAAAGAAGTGAACAAAAACAAACTTCAAAAGTCTGAGAGCCAATCTCACAGATATCTACGTTTTAAGTAAAACATTTTTATACACATTAACTATTTCTAATAGTGTCCTTTCAATGGCAAAGAGTCCCTTAAGTGTCAGTCTGAGATTCAAAGGTGTTAGTAACAATTCCCTGATCTTGAACTATGAACTATACTAAAAGAAAAAAATCTCTGCTATAACTAATGTTTCTAAAGTTGGATTAAGGATAGTGCTTGGGTTAGAAGCCTTATCTTTTTTACTCCACCAGCATTTTGTACTATACCGTATCATCCTACACATCATACTACAAATGCTCAATTCTATCTCAGTGAGGGCTTGAATCACATTTGTCTTATTCACATCTATTTCCTGAGCTGTGGTATAGTACATCAGGTGCTTATCCAGATCTCTGTTAAAAGATTTAAATGCAAGCATGTATGAAAGCTTCTTTAATCAGAATGGAATATAAATACATTTTTATTTTTTAAAAAAGCAGGTAGCTACCCTTCAAATCCTTATGATTTGAAGCATGACATGCTATCACAGTCAATATTTCTCCATGGAAATCTTTTTTTTTTACTGTACAGTAGGTGGACTGTTGTGAGCACTGCTCCAACTGAAGAGAGAGCAGATGCTGTCCTGAGGCCATATGTGCCTCCTGCCCTGTGTTCTTCTATGTCAAGTGTGATGCACCTTGTGGGTCGGAATGTCTACTTCAGAAGAACCTTCTAGTGGATGTTACATCACCATTATTCATCTTCTTTGGGTCATGGAATCCTGTGAGAAGTGCATAAGAGCAATGAACCCTCTTCTAAGAAAAATGTACAAGCAGAAAATGTTCAAAGAATTTCAAGGTATCTAATTCCTTAAATTAAGCTGATAAGGAATCTCTGATTATAAGGTAAAGTAAGTGGGTATGTCAGAATGAAAAGGAGCTAAAGACAGCTAAGTTTGCTTGCTATGGTAATCTTTTGGTCTTAGGAGGAGGAAAAATAGGAAGTCTGGATAGAGGAAAGAATGGAAGATGCTTTTCTTGAAAGCAACAAAAAGGAATGATAAGTATTTCAAATAGGATTTTTAAGAGAAAACAACACCCATTTGTGAAGAGGTATTAGGGCATAGGAACCAAAGCTAATTAGGAGTACTAATTAGGGAAAGCAACCTGTAAGCTAATGGTTCTGGCAATGGATTTTTCTTTCTATTATAATGCTAAAACTCTTAAGTAGATCTTAAAAAAAGGCAGTTTGTGGGTAAATGAGCTGCACTTGGACTAGGAGAAAAAGATACAGAATAAAGGTAAACATGTTAGAGTAATCCAAAATCACAGATACATCTTTATACACAAACAAAAATACAGCTGACTCTTGAACAACACAGGTTTGAAATGGATGGGTCCACTTATACGTGGATTTTTTCAACAAATATACGTACAGTACTGTAAATGTATTTTGTCTTATGATTTTCTTAGTAACATTTTTTTCTCTAGCTTACTTTAAGAATACAGTATATAATACATATAATATATAAAATATGTGTTCATCAACTATGTTATTAGTAAAGGTTCCAGAAAGCAGCAGGTTATAAGCAGTTGTTTTGGGGTAGTCCAAAGCTCTATGTGAATTTTTGACTGTGTGTGAGTCAGTATCCCAACCCCTGCATTGATGGAAGGGTCAACTGTATTATGTTTCACTAATTTTAAGATGCACTTTTTCCAGTTTAATATCTATGAAATGGAGTTGCATCTTATAATCAATGATGCAGTGCAACTGGCAGTGTTTTCTCTTAGTGGTATAATTATGTGTGTTTTACAATTGGTGGCCTATTAAGATTACAAGAAACACATAAATGTTTATTGTAAATGTTAATGATATATAAAAATATCAGGTAAGATATTTTAATACAAACTTTGGTCCACAATTACATCCTTGTACATTACTTATTACATATACAGATGTACTAGGTTCTACTCAATTCTATCATTCTGGTGGGCTCTATAGAGTCTAACTATATGTTTCCCAAAAGTTAACTCAGAGAAAACTAATCTTGGTTATTCCTAAGAAAAAAGAATCAAATTCATTCTTCCCAAATAGATTCATAGATGGATCACTTGTTCAGGTTTATACCTCCCCACTACCTTTAGCCTTTCCAACTATTTAGGTACTTAAGCTCTTAATAACATGTCTTTTGTCTCCATTTTAAGATCAGGTAAAGAAGGGACCAAGTGACTTGCCCAAAGTCACGTAGCTAAAAGTGGTCAAACTACTAAATGACAACAAATCAAATGGAAGTAAATAGAATCTAAAAATTGTCTGGCCCCAATGATCCAGTGACTCTTTTAAAGAAAGAAATATTTTAACATTTCTATGACAGTCAGTGCATTATTAATGTTTACCCACATTCACAAAGTAGAACTACTATATTAGATTCACAAAGATTAAAAATTAACTCACTCTGTTGGTGAGGGTGGGGGTAAAACAGATATTCCTACACAATGCTGACAGAAGTATAAACTGCTAAAATTTCTTTGGAGAGTAATTTGGAAATACTTGAAAAATATCCTTTGGCCCAGCAAATCTCCTTGTAGGATTTTTCTTACAGGCATGTTATCACATGTGCACAAGCAGACCGCAGAGTTGTTTGTAACAACAACCTGGACACAACTTAAAGCTCTTCAAGAGGGAGTTGGATACAGAAATTGCGACACAGCCATCAACAGAACACTAATCAGCTATTAAACCAAATAAGCCAGATACGTGGAACAAGACAGAATAATCTCAAAGATAAATGATTATATCAACAAATCAAGTGTGCACAGTATACCACCATTTGTGATTAACACAGAATGGGAGAGGAAATGAGGGAGACACCAAACACAAGTTTGTATATCTGTACACTATGGAAGAACATAAAAATTCCAGAAAGCATCAATGTGTCGGGGTGGGAAACCCGAGAGATTCAGATTAAGTCACGGACAGAAGGAGACTTACTTTCTACTTCTGTAAAAATGTTAATAGTCTTTTTACCAAATATCAGTTATGAATAATAGAAAATATTTTTAATTTCCTTCACATGAATAAATCAACATAAAGATCCATAAGCTCTTCCAGTTTCATCTCTAAGAATCTGGTGAATGTTACCTTTCCATTCTTCTATTGTATGTTCCCTTTCATCTAACTGCTTGTCAGGTATCTTTGGTGGTGGCTGAAAAACACAAGGCAACAATAATTGAGTCAGTTTACTGGGAGTATATAAATTCTTCATAATTATTTGAATTATTAGCCAGGCAGAGACTTTCAAAAATACATCATTAGACCAACACTGACCAATCACCAACAGCCTTCTTATGTAGAGACTAGTTTTGGATGACATTTTCACAACAGGAAAAAAAATGTTTAACTCTCTTTTTCTTTTCTTCTAGTTTTTGAAATTGTCACATTTACATCACAGAATCATGCTATGCTTTGGACACAACAGTTTGTTTTTTAACTAGTCAGAATGTTTTCCCAAAGTGCTCAACATTCTAGCGCATCATGTACCAAGGCAAAAAGGCAAGAAATAGTGGGATGTAACTTTATTTTGTGTGGAGGGTGCTTGGATATGCTCATTAACTTAAGATACTATTCATGCAAAAACAGAAAAACACCATAATCATTTATGTATATTTTTATTTAAAATTAAAAAGTTTCCTCCAAACCTAACTTCAATTCAATATATTCTTCAAACATTAAGAAAAGAACTTACAGCTTCTGCTTCAGAAGGATCATACCAAACATTGATATACGGGTGCTGGAGAGCTTCATCTACAGAGATCCTTTTAGATGCATCAATTACCAGCATTTTGGATAACAAATCCCTTGCCTGACTGGCTGTAAAAAAAAATGATGTTAATGTACATGTATTTCATAAAAGTTTTTAAAGTATCATAAATTTTAGAAACTTGAAACTGTCATTTATCAAAAAGTAAATGTTTTAAAAAGAATAGATTTTACTATAAAATCAGGTCATACATATGATTAAAAAAACAGAACTACAAAAAAATAAAAATAAAATAAAATAACAAAAATTTAACTAAAACCTTTCCCTTTTTTCCCCCACCCCGAGAGAACACTGGGTTATATCCCTTAAGAATATAAACACACACACACACACACACACACCCCCCAAATGGGACTAAATATACATATTTATAAAAAGTACCTTTAAGTTTGTTGTGTTCCGAGTCAGCTGGGAAAAGTACATCGGGGAAGAGTTTCTCAAAGCTATATCCAGCATATTTAGGTCTGTTTTCAACATAAGTCCTTACTGTTGGCTGTAGTTTCTTCATGAATTCAGGGCATGGTGTTCCAAGCTGTTCAATAACTTTATTCCACTGATCAATATCTAATATCAAGTAGCTAAGAAAAATACTCTGTATCTAATGTTCAACACATTAGCCATATCTATATTAAAATAACAAGAAAACAGCAATTTAAAAAATACTAAGAAAAGAATGTGGCAGTTATAAATCTTCTGTCTTATAGCCACCTTGTAAAAGGCAATGACTGTAGATAGAAAGTATCAATAAATAAGCTTTGTTAACCTTATTGTGTGTGTGTGTGTGTGTGTGTGTCTACTAATACTGATTTTACCAAAAACAGAAGCTTAAACCCACAAATTCTAAATACAAATGATAAGTGACTCAAGGAATAATGACAATTACTACCTACAGGGACTCTAAATTTAAACTGTACATAATTCTAGAATACAAAATCTGTCTTTTGTTCCAGCTTATCAGAAAATGTGAATGCATTTCCTGGAGGATAAGAAATATTTCTTATTATCTGTCCTATATTTTTTTGTTTTCTGCACTAACAGAAAATAACCAGTAGCAATAAAAATGATGGCTTTAACAAAAGTGGCATTTTCTTTTGCCATTCTTTGTTTAGCTTATGTTAATTAAAATGTTTTTAAAGCTCTGAAACCTAAGAAAATGAGTCTGCATTTTGGTAAGCTGTGAGGTTAAGATTCCCTGGTCTTTTTCATCCTAGTTTTTATACTCCAAGTCCTCCCTGCAGACTAACTCAAACTTTCTTACTATAACCCAGTGAGTATGGTTTTTCCCATTCCTCCTCCTATAACAATTCTAAGTGTTACTAACTGATAAACACATAACAGATCACTGTTAATATAAATACTGAAACTAGTCAGATGAACAAAAAGAATGAATCCAAATCTACTCACAATATAAAACTATTACTGCTAAAATTCTCAGATGAAAAAATCAGTATGTTATGTTGAGCAGTGAGACAACAACCAAAAGACACAAAACACACAGAACATTAACAAAAGAGGAGATGGTTGGGGGAACAAAACAAAAGGATGAACAGAAGCAACAGACAATTCTAAAATTCATATTAAGTCCTAAGTACTTCTAGACTTACTCAAGTGTATAATTATTAGAAATTTTAATGCAAGCCATGATTTTTGATTTAGGTTAAATAAATCAACTCAAAGCCAGCAAGTAATTGTGGATAATTAACTTGAGCAGTTGTCAGAATTAACATATAAAACAATAAATGAGGGAAAGGAAAGTCTATGTCAAATAGCAGGTGGTATTTTGAAAGAGTAATTTAACAATACTTCATTATTAGGGAGAGACAAAAATACATTACACCTGACCAAGCTGAAGTGCTACCATACATTTTGACCTTTAGAAACTACATTTTAGGCCAAAGATAAGGATACGATCTGTACCTGGGAACAAAACACCACCTTTGATCATTTCTCCCATGATGCACCCAACTGACCAAATGTCAACTGAAAACAAAATGCAATGACATTAACATAAAGATTTTGGTTAAAATAAAAAAAAAATATTTAAACATTAAAAAAAATCACATACACCATGTATACTTTAAAATTATAGAAAGCAGTATAAAATAAAAATGAATGACAGTGAATGTGCTCTAACTACCAGCAGAGACTGTATGTCCTACTGCCAGATGCAGCCTACAAGTATTTCAGCTTCTTGTCTCAACAATTTTTGAACTATAACAGCCACAAACTTTACATTTGTTTAAAGAAACCCATATATATGAATGTACCATATTTATTTTCATTAGAGAATATAAGGAAGTTCATCACCTAACTAATTTAACTGCTGCAGCAGCACAAGGATACAGTCCCTTCCTGGAAAGAGGATTTTGTGGCAAACCATTTCTCCCATAATGCACCCCACAGACCATAAATCCACTATATGTTTGCAGCACAAAAGAAGGAAAAGCAAAGCAAAAGGTCGTTAAAATCAAAGAAGCATAATATGACTGCATTATATAAAAACTGCAAAACATCACAAAAATAAAAAAGTGATTTTAATTTTAGCTAATGGAATAATTTAAAACACAAAATATTTTTCAAAAGGCTTTGATTCACAAAAGCAAATGTGAAGTGTAGCCTTTTAACTACATATCTAATTTTAAAGTGAGAGCTATGCACAGAAATCACGTAATTGAAAAACCTATACATTTTGTCTCTAAAAATTGTTCATAAAATATGAAACAGAACCGAACACATCTTTTCAAATAAGGCTGAAAATGAACACGAGGCAGCAAAATTTAAATAATAAAATCTTGACACTATTTTGAGGTTCAACTGTGCATTATACTCTCTCTTTAAGTCAAATAAAAGAAAAAAGCATGAGCAGAAATAATCTAGTATATTAAAATATTTAACAGAAAGAATGTGTTTCTATGAGTCATTACAATTAAAAAGTTAATCAAAAGCTCTTCAGAAATTTTCAAACTGGATTTCAAACTGGATAAATTTATTTGAGAAGTCCTATGTTTATTCTGAATTGAGTTACTATTTTCTTGGCAATGTCACGATACATTTACCCTATTATCCCAAAAGGAACAAGTGCATAGAAAATGAACAAATAATCAATGAAGAAAACTTCATAAAAGAAGTATATTTTATATGTTTTCCACCTAAGGTTTTTTAAACCCATAAAACCAAACTGCTTTCGTTTAAGAAGTTAGTTTTAGTTGGATATAATATGAAAGCTCCCACAGATTTATCTACATGGAGTCTCCTTGTTGACTTACTGACCCTCATCAACTTTTAATGGGAGCTCTCAATGCTGGAAAGAATCTGCTAGACAAAGAAAATGGCAATTTGGAAATCTCCACCTGGTTCACTAATACACCCTGAAATTTTATATCTTTGGTTTGAAAATTTGGTTAAAAAAAAAAGGAGAGGAGGTAGCTAGATCCATTGTGGTGATCACTTCATAATGTATATATAAAGACTGAATTACTATGATGTACACTTGAAACATAATATTGTATGCCTACTATATACTTCAATTTAAAAAAAGGAGAGTAGGTGGTTGCAGTTTAATAGAAGAGGGGAAGAATAAGCAATTTAAAAAGAAAGCCTTAGAAACTTGCATATGTTTTTGAAGTTTCAAGGTCCTTTTTAAGAGCAAAAGAAGAAAGGGGAAGAAGTAAGTGTTAGGGAGAAGTGCCCATGCTGGTGGACTTATGAAATTAGAAGTCTGTACTTTCTAATGTACTCATAAAGAGACTGCCAGCTCATTACAGAATCTTTGTAACAAAGGTGGGAATAAATTTTGGAAATCCTGTAGAACTAAAGTTTCTCTAAAATTTCATATTAAAATTCATATGACTCTCTATGATTCAACTTTCAAGAATAAAATTTTAGAGGAAAAGGTAATACTCATAAATCAGTTCAGAGAACAATTTTTTTCCAAGGTTTTCATTTTTGGAATAAATCTACCACAATAAATTTCCCTACAGATTTTAAAGAATAGCAAACTTTAAATATCCAGGACGTAATTTACGCAGGTGACCTTAAGAAAAACATATTTTTAAACAAATTTCAAAAGCTGCAAGCATGAGAAGATATTGCCTGGGTTAGTGAAGACTTTCTCAAAATATGGTGTGCCTGATTCAAACACAAAACTAGCTTTAAATGGTCTAACTGCTTAGTCTATTAGGCAGTTTAAATATATTCCATTATATTACAGTTCGTAAAAAGCTTTACGGTAGCTTGCAATAAAAGACAAAACAAAGTTGTTAAAACAACTGGGAGTGCGATGTTACTGAAAGAAGGAAGTTCTAATGTTTAACCTTATTGTTATCATGATTAAGCATTACATTCGACTTTGTTTCCTGAGGCAAAAATGGGCAATAAAGTGATCTATACAATTCCTATCTAAGACAGGAAAGCATGTCAATTCTTTATGATAGTTTCTCTTGGTGCTAATTTCTGGTAGGAAGCTATCACTAAGATCACATTTATAGGGCACTGAGTGACACAGTATCTGTGACAATTGATAGCTTTATAGCAAATGCAAAAGTAATCTTCATGATGGTCACTGGAAGTCTCATTTCTCAAAAGAGTCTAATACTAAATCCAACTCACTGAATTCTAAGGTATAAAACAATTTTAGAGAATAAGAAAAAACAGCATGTTAAAGAAAATAATCATAAATATTTAAAGTATTTGTTTTTAATTAATTCAGAAAAGTAAAGGAAATTAAGCTAAAATCCTCAGTTCAATGTTGTCTTTTATAAAAACGAATCTTGAAGATTAATAGAGTTTCTTGATTCAAAGTGAACTGCTGTTCCAGATTCCTTACTAAAAAAAAAAACATCTCAGTCCTATTCTAGGGAGTATTTTCGATGAAATGACCACATTTTAAAAGTTACAGTTTAAGTCCATAATAATCCTGTGTAGATTTATTTATGTCCTAAATATCTGCGATTCAACAAAACTTAAGTTACATGTATGTACATATATATACATAACATTTTAAAACATACGTGAACTACATGCCTGATCATTTTCTTCAACCTTGATTCTAATGCTGAAATATTTAATTGAATATACCCACATACAATAATGCCATTTCTTTAAGGTGGGACACAAGGCTCTGATGAAACACTGTTTCTTCCAAAAGATCACCTTAATTATCCATCAGCTTTGCAGAATGGCCTCACTGTAGCTCTTAAAGTTTACACTAAGTGCTATAACTTTAGTTTCATACGTTTAGAAATAGGTTCAAATATCACTAATGCAAAGTAGGATTATTACTAAAGATAAACTGTCAGTCCACCATATACTTCCTTGAGCCCCTGTTAGAAATACTCATTTTCAAGTTATAGGCAAGCAAATGGCATTATGTTCTGTTTTAGGAGCCACTGCAACAAATCCTTTATCCAGCTGTAGTGTTGATAGTTATGTACTTATATTTAAATAAACAGGGGCCCCAAGTTTTTCCAAACATTTATGACAAAATTTATAGTTACTTTCAAACTTGTGATAAACATTTCAGTGATACATTTAACTTCTATGCACTTCAGCTTAAAAATTTTACATAAAAAATCTGATAAACAAAAGCAAGTAACAGTATTTCAAGTAAATAGTGTTTGCTGACCGTTTTCTTTGTAGCCCATCCCTAGGATGACCTCAGGTGCTCTGTAGTAGCGAGTCACTACGTAAGGTGTCATCATAAAACTAGTTCCTGCAGTCCTGGCCAGTCCAAAGTCAAGAATCTTCAAAGTGCAGTCTGATTTTACCACTATATTACTGGGCTTTAAGTCCTTCAAAATATTAAAAACAAAAAAATGACTGCTATGATATATATAAACATTTTACAGTTTACAAGTTATTAGATCACTTTTTTAAAAAAAAGATTTTATTTATTTATTTGAGAAAGAGAGAGGAAGTGTGTGAGTGAGCAGGGGGTGGGGCAGAGGGAGAGAGAGAATCCCAAGCAGACTCCCTGCTGAGCAGGGAACCTGAAATGGGGCTCCACCCCATGACCCTGAGATCATGACCGGAGCTGAAATCAAGTCAGATGCTTAACCCACTGAGCCACCCAGGTGTCCCATTATTAGATTACTTATAAGACAATTCATGATAACTGTTGTAGTTTCTCTCATTATAATCAACATCACACTGCTCAGATTCATCGTAACAGGCGATGTTGAGAAATTAGCTTGATGGCATTCTTCACTTATGAATACCTACATACAGATTAGAGAAATTTCTAATGTTTTATTTTCTAGAAATTATGATTAGCTAGAAATTTTCAATCAAGTGCAATAAAAGCAGTTTGTAAGGCATTTCAAAGTTATTATAGTAAAAGAAAGAGAATCATAAGTTAGCATTTATGCTCACTTGTATACTAAATTACCAGATTTTTTTAAAATCTCATTTTAGGGCTGCCCAGGTGGCTCAGTTGGTTGAGTGTCCAACTCTTGATTTTGGCTCAGGTCGTGATCTCAGAGTCATGGGTTCGAGCCCTGCATCGGGTTCCACACTCAGCAGGGAGTCTGCTTGAGATTCTCCCTCTCCCTCTGCTCCTCCCCTCCCCACTCGTTCTTTTTTAAAAAGATTTTATTTGAGAGGGAGAGAACACGCTAGCAGGGGGAGGGGCAGAGGGAGAGGGAGAATCTCAAGCAGACTCCCCGCTCAGTGTGGAACTCGATGCAGGGCTTGATTCGAAGACCCTGAGATCACGACCTGAGCTGAAGGCAGATGCTTAACCGACTGAGCCATCCAGGCGCCCCCCAAAAATCTCATTTTAAAGTCACAGTAAGCTTTATATAGATATTACAAGTCAACAACGGGTCATTCCATGTCAATCCAAGCAAATGTCATTTGACCTTTCAAACCAGCAGACTTTCAATTCTAAAGGACTGAAATGGTCATTATCAGTCTTTCCATAACTGGATTCCCACTTGAAATTACACAAATTTGTTCATGAAACCGTCATCTGCCCATGGAAGTCGGACATCACTGTCTTGGTGCCACTAATCCATAAAATTACTTGCTGTTGATGCTACTAAATAATGTCCTTGTGAGGAATTTTCCACCTAACCCAACCTTAAGGAATTCTGTGTTATGATCATTAAAAGGCATTCATGACTTCAAGTCCAACACACTGCCTGTTAGCTCCGATGAATCTTATTATGAACCAAGAAACCAAAGAAAGCAAGCACAGTATATCCACACCACAAAACCATTCCATTACTGGTACTGACAAGTAGTATATAACATTCAATGCCAGTGATTAATACAAAAGAAAAAAAGCTGGCCTGAAAGACAGTTTACACTTTTGTAACGTTTACATCCAGAAAATCACATATGTTGTCTTTAGCATATTTTGACAGGTGATCATGAATGGGTTTAGAAGATATGTAATCTAAGGGATTTTTCAAATTAAAAGTAGGTATCAACAGGCTTAGTGAAATAGAAGATGAAAATTTTCATTATTGCTATTCTGTAAATATAAACTGAACATTATTTACAAAATACATGATCTCAGCAAAGTAACACAGCCTGTTCAAGAATTACATATTGCAAGCTTTGATACTACTTCAGTATCTACTGTGATGGGTAAAGATTAATGGCTCTTTATACTACTGCATTCTAGCCTAGAGATAAGATTTCAACCTTAAACACTTTATTTTGGAAAGATTAAGAGCACAATACAATTTTTTTTAGAAATATTTTTTATCAAGAAAAAACAGTCAAAAAAATGCTTCAAAGAATATTACCTGAAATTCATCTTTGTATATCTATACCTTTCTACAGATGTTAGTAACATTGTTAATTATATATGAGAAGAATAAGTGAACTTGTATAAATTTGTGGCAGAGGAAGTAGAACTAACCTAATATTCTGACTTCTCCCCCCAAATTTTTCAGCTTCCTTACATGCAAGAACTAACTGTGATTAGTTCTAGTCAATAGGACGGGAGCGGGAGTGAAGAACAGAAGGGCCATGCACAACATCCTGTCGTCTCTTCCTCTGCTTTGTTGATTAGTACCATTCCAGGTAGTGGATCTTCCGTCAGCCCAGGTTGTTGAGCACCTAAGTAAGGCAGAATCCTTACCCTACCATGATCTACCCTGGACATGTAGTGTGGAAAATAAACCTTAGTTGTGTTAAGCTACTACGAATTTAGGGTTTATTTGTTACCTTGGCATAGCCTAGTGGTAACGCTGTTATTTATAATAAGAAGTGCGTATTTGGTCTTTGTCCCAATTACAGGCACACAGCTCCTAAAACCCTCAGAATTACCTAAAAGGTAAGAGCAATAAAAGTGAAAAGAGTGCCTTTTGTTATTCATAAGAAGTCCCTTTCTGGTCACCTGGGTGGCTCAGTCAGTTGAGCATGGGCCTCTTGATTTTGGCTCAGGTCTCAGAGTTGTGAAACTGAGCCCCATATGTCTGGCTCCATGCTGGGCATGGAGCTTGCCTAAGATTCTCTCTCTCTCCCTCTACCTCTGTACCACCCTCCTCCTGCACCCCTGTACTCCTGCTCCTACCACAGTTTATGTTAATGAGGTGACTTCTGGAAAGTTTCAAAGGATGGGGGTTGATTGCCAGGAGAATCAACAAAGTAATTAAAGGGTTGGAACTTTCAGCATTTCCTACCCCAAACCTCCAGGGAGTGGGGAGGGCTAGACTGAGTTCCATCATCAAAGGCCAATGATTTAATCAATCATGCCAGGTAGTGAAGTCTCCATAAAAAACCAAAAGGACTGGTAAGGAGAACTTGCAGGTTGGTGAACATGCATAAGTGCTGGGAGACTGGTGCACCCAGACAGGGCATGAAAGCTCGGGCCCCTTCCCATTTACCTTGCCCAATACATCTCTCCATTTGGCTGTTTCTGGTTATGTCCTTTGTAATAAACTGGTAATCTAGTTAGTAAAATGTTCTCCTGATTTCTGTGAGCCACTCTAGCAAATTAATTGAGTCTGAGGAGGGGGGTTTTGCAAACCTCTGAATTACAACCAGTAGGTCAAAGCCACAGATAACAACCTGGGTTTGAGATGGCATCTGAACGGCAGGCACTTGTAGAACTGATCCCTTAACCTGTTGGATCTGATGCTATCCAGGGAGGTAATATCAGGATTAAGTTAAAGTACAAGATCCCCAGCCGGTGTCCAGAGAACCTGAGACTTGTTTGGTGTGGGAAAAACTACCACACATTTAGTGTTAGAAGTAATAATGTAAGAGTAAAGGAGACACCTAGAAATGTTTTTCCTATATTATACTAGTCTAACATTGAACTTAGTGCCAGAAGTGGGATGTTACTATTATAAACACAGGATCACAGCTTAGCAGTTTGATCAGCAGGCAGCAGGGAAACTAATACCAGAGGTTGGATAGGTGATCCAGGTTATATAACAGCAATACACTTCATGATACCGCCCCTTGCAATCACTTGGAAAGCACAACACTTGCATAATGAACCTGAAACTCTAGAACAAGGGTTAACAAATTAAGGCCTGTCTGTTTTTGTGAAGAAAGTTTTATTAGAACACAGTCCTGCCCACTTAATCACCTACTGTATACAGCTGCTTCTGTGTTACAATGGCAGAGTTGAATAGCTGTGAGACTCTATCATCTGCAAAGCCTAAAATATTTACTGTCAAGCCTTTATAGAAAAAGTTAGCTGACCCCTGCTCTAGAAGAGATTGGAAAGCAAAACTTTAGTAGTATGTTGGTGGCTACTAGCTGCATTTGAAAGAACTGGCCACTTTAAAAGCAGAAATGAATGGGAACCAGAATCTAGAATTTTAGGACCTTGCCATTCTAGAAAAGTTAAATGCTACTAAACCCTTAAAAAAAAATGGCAGATTGCCCCGTAAATCTCTCCCCCACCCAACCCAGGATATAGATGTTCCTTGACTTCATGATGGGGTTATGTCCCAATAAACCCTCATAAGTTGAAAACATCGTAAGTTGAAAATGCATTTAATACACCTAACCTACCGAACATCATAGTTTAGGCTAGCCTACCTTAAACATGCTCAGAACACTTACCTTAGCCTATGGATGGGTAAAATCATCTGAGGCAAACCCTATTTTATAATAAAGTTGTTGGAGTATCTCACGTAATTTATTGAGTAGTGTCCCGAAAGTGAAAATCAGGATGACTGTTTGGGCACAGAATACTTGTAAGTGTAGTGGTTGTTCACCCTGTGACTGCCTGGCTGGCTGGGAGCTGCGGCTCACCGCTGCTGCTCAGCCGCATAAGACAGTAGCGTCCTACATACTGCTAACACCGGCAAAGTGTGAAATGTGTATCACTTTTTACACCACTGTAAAGTCGAAAAATTAGGTTGAACCACCATAAGGAGGGGACCATCTGTACTCCTCCATTTTATTAACGAGCCTTGACAGATGACTTGTTTAGGCAATGGAAAGTGAGGGAATATGATGTTCACCAAATCTGAAAAAGTTTTCAATATGCTTGATTTAGCTTGGCTCTTGCTCCGCTACCTTTCACCATGAGAAAACGATGTGCCCCAGGGAGGCACTCCTTCGGCCTGAACGAGGGCAAACCCTGAATCTGACCCCATGATCTGGAGCAGTGCCACACAACCAACCTGCAGACCCCTGAGCAAGCAATGAACGTTATGTTAAGCCACCGATACCTTGGATGTGTTTTCCGTGCATCACTTCCACTTAATAATCCTGAAAACCTCTGAGGGAAAAAGAGCTGTACATTCTTTCAGTTGATGAAAATGCCTTAGACTTGCCAAGAGAAGCCTGAAAGCTTAAAGGTAGACATTAACTTGAA